GCCTCCTATGGAAGTTGGATTTTTGGAAGGCCACACATTTATTTATTTATTTATTTATTTCATAAAATTTATACACTATTTGATTGTAAAAAACCTTAAAGCGGTTTACAAAAAGATAGAACAATAAAATCGAGGGAAAATTAACAACCATACAAAAGTTAAAATACTAAATTGGATTAAAATTACCTCAGCTTTTAAGCATCTGGGTAGCAGGCTCCAAAGAGAGTACAGTGAAGGCGTCTGCTTGATCTCAATAGGCAGGGAGTTCCCAAGTGCAGCTGCTACTACACTAAATGATTAAGTTCTTGCAAATGCAGAACGGGTATTATATGGCACCTGTACCAGTGCCAGTTCTGGCAATTAAAGCAGTCGAGTGGGCACACGTGATATTTAGTAACATATGAAAACACTCGTAACCAGCTAGTTTGTGAAAATCCAGCATCCACATTACTAGTTGTTAAGATAAAGAGGAAGTCCATTGGCAATGGTTTTCAGAATGGAGGCAGGCACAGAAACATGTGAGAAAGAACCACATTATTTTGGTCCAATATACTTTATAGTCCACCATTCTTTCAACACTCTTCCACTTGATGCTCCTGAAAAGCAGAGTTTGGAGAAGATACAATCCTTTGCTGTCTTATCTCCACAAACTGGTATATTGCTTCTGTTCATGGAGCCTGCATTTAGTGGTGCTATGGTTAATTGATTTGGAAATCCAGATTTTTTAGTTAGGCAGCACCAGATAATGGTGTTATTTAGATGCATTTGAAAATGGATTTAAACTATTTTCCTTTGTCTAGACAGAATAATGGACAAAGGGCCCCTCCAGACTGTTGTTTTATTGTGGGTGTATTCTGCAAGATGTTATTGACACAGTAATAGCGATTAATGGCTGATTTATTCTGCTTTATTGGTTGCTCTTTGATGCTTCCCCTGTGCTAACATGTTTTTGCTGTCCGGAGAGGGCTATAGCGCAACACAAGCGGAACAAAAATAGACCAGAACATTTGTGGCATAGAAAGTTATGGGAATTTGGCAGGATGTTACAGCATATGCACTGTGTGGAAATGAAACAGTGTGAGTGCCTAAAAACTTTTGCAGATGCAAATGGTATTGAAAGCGGGACTGTGTATGACCACTCCAATAGCATAATGAGCACAGATCATTGTGAATTTGCAATAAAAAGGAGTGAGCCCATAAACACATCAAACCCTAAACATTGACCATGTTTGCTGGGGATAATGAAAGTTGTAGTCCAACAATATCTAGGGATCTAAGGTTGTGGAAAGGACATTCTAAAGTTAGAAACTAACCTATTTAAGCACCCCAGACTGTGAGTGCACCCTCCCACACACATTTACCAGGAACCATCTCTAAACTCCTATCCCAATATTTGTTGTAAGGAAATGTATCTAAATTACTGCAGTCACTGCACTCAGATAGGGATGTAAGGAGATCTTGATTTCTATCCTGCCCTGTGTTTGTTGCAACGAGTACTCTTTCTCACCCACTACAGTCCAGCTTCCACTAAACCCTACATTATTCATCTTGCTATCTGCTATGGCCAAAATAAACATAATTATTTACATAATGTTTGTGAACTTAAAAAAAAAAATTGATAGCAAATGCTGCTTGTTTTTGCTTGCACGATTTCCATTTCTGACCTCAGACAAACATGTGAACTGCGGCAATTTCCATTCCTGTTTCTGCTTCCAACAGAATTTTCTGACATTCCTACATGGACCGTCCTCATCAGGCATAGAATCAGGGAACAGAAACACGCAACATCTGTCCCTGCAGTTGCCAGCAACGTGAAGCCTTTGGATTGGCTAGGCCTAGTATTAAATGCCATAGGACAAGCATTCTGTCAATGCCTGCTCAAAAGAGCAGAGCCTCCTGCCTGATAATCTCCACACTACAGCACAAGCCCTCACCTCCAGCAACACTGCAGGGACCTTGGGTTTAGGCAACACACATTCCAAGCCTTATTCTTAGTTCAACTGCCTTTGGAGCATATTGAATCAGACAATTTCATTTGCCATCTCTCTCCCCTCCCCCTTTTCATCGCTGTGTAATTATTTCTTACTCCCAGGAGATGGGACCGCTGGGACCCCTTTCATTAGCTTGCCATTTCTGATACATCTTGTTGAACTGAAGGTTTAGATGAGAGCTTAGGGAGCTTGTGTCTGGAAGACTTTGTCACGCAGAAGTCTGTAGGAGCAGAGAAAGATGTCAGAACACAACCACAAGCCTGAGAGCGACTTGTCTCCAGCAGTTATGAGGCCTGCACCAAATTACATCCCGCTGCACACAACCTGTGTGTGCAAGCTGGAGATGATAGAACGTGGGCACACAAGTGAGTTTTCTCAATTCCCCAAGCAGGAAGTCGAAAAAAGCAATTATCCAGATGTGTGAAGTGCAGAGATTTGCCTGTAGTATATATTAAAAAATTGAAATATTTCACAAGGGACCCTTGGAACAGCCCAGAATAAATGGGAGGGAGATTCCGGTATCTTGGCCACCACAAACAACAAACTGGCTGGTGGCCATTTCTTTTCTTTAGGTTTGCTGGTTGCTGGCTTCACTCAGCGTTGCACAGGCTACGTTGCAGACATTAAGCCAAATAATGAAGCAGGCCAGAGAGAGGATTTCTGGAATGTCATGACGACGACTTAGGGATGTTTGTTTTAAAACAAACAAAAAATCCCTCATGTTTCCCCTAGAGGTATGTTATGGATTTTATTTTGCACTTACAGATGGCTGTCATTGCATGAAAAACAAAAACTAGAATATCCTTCTGAGATACATGATTCTGCATTGATAATATGATATGCAGTAACTCCCCTTTTAACTATGATTTCCAAAGACACATACTGCAGAAATTCTGCTGGCAGAATATGTTGAGGTTCCTAAGAACAGGCATTTGAAGTGGCAGTAACAAACTAACAGAGCAATCCAAACTATAGGAAGCCAGCATAACTTACGCCAGGGCAAATCATGCCGGTACAATTTGCCTCTATTCCAGATTCTGTCTAGGAACAGATCCAGGTAGATTATGCCAGTGCTATTTACTGTTACTCCAAACTTCATTTGATAGCAAGGCCAGTGTTAGAGCCTGGCAGAAGGAAAACAAGCCTTTAAAGTAGTTTGACTTACACTACCCCTTATGCCGGTATAGCTTCCTCTGGGTTGTTAGGCCACGTGACTGAGTTGAACAGAGTTTGGAACAGAGGTAAGTCTCCCCCTGTCTTGCCCTGCCCTGCTGCCGCCCTTCCTCCAGTACACTCTTTTTTTGGGAGTTGCCATTTCTTGACATCTGTATATTCCCTTAAAACGATAGGTTAGTTTGAGGTCTTTCCACTGCACTTCACTTCTTTCCACTGCACTATACCCAGCCAGATGAGCGGGGTATAAATATATTATTATTATTATTATTATTATTATTATTATTATTATTATTTATTACCCATGCCTGGGAAACCTCTTGAGTACCCTACCTCTGCCCATGTGCTACTTTGATTTTCTGCTATTTCCATTGCACATCTAGGGTAGCATATTTTTTTGTCCTTTTAATTATTCATTATTTTACCCATAGAAGAATGGAAACACATTTTCAGAGTTCATTTGTACTCTGTGCTCAGCTTGACAACACTAAAAAAGACAACATTTGGTTCTTGTAAAGTATTGCACTTGGGCAAAAAAAATGAGAGGCACAAATACAAGATGGGTGACACCTGGCTTGAGAGCAGTACATGTGAAAAGGATCTAGGAGTCTTGGTTGACCACAAACTTGACATGAGCCAACAGTGTGACGCGGCAGCTAAAAAGCCAATGCAATTCTGGGCTGCATCAATAGGAGTATAGCATCTAGATCAAGGGAAGTAATAGTGCCACTGTATTCTGCTCTGGTCAGACCTCACCTGGAGTACTGTGTCCAGTTCTGGGCACCACAGTTCAAGAAGGACACTGACAAACTGGAACGTGTCCAGAGGAGGGCAACCAAAATGGTCAAAGGCCTGGAAACGATGCCTCATGAGGAATGGCTAAGGGAGCTGGGCATGTTTAGCCTGGAGAAGAGGAGGTTAAGGGGTGATATGATAGCCATGTTCAAATATATAAAGGATGTCACATAGAGGAGGGAGAAAGGTTGTTTTCTGCTGCTCCAGAGAAGCAGACACAGAGCAATGGATCCAAACTACAAGAAAGAAGATTCCACCTAAACATTAGGAAGAACTTCCTGACAGTAAGAGCTGTTCGACAGTGGAATTTACTGCCAAGGAGTGTGGTGGAGTCTCCTTCTTTGGAGGTCTTTAAGCAGAGGCTTGACAACCATATGTCAGGAGTGCTCTGATGCTGTTTCCTGCTTGGCAGGGGGTTGGACTCGATGGCCCTTGTGGTCTCTTCCAACTCTATGATTCTATGATTCTTTTTTACACTGTGGCTTCATATTTCAGGGTGACATTTGCAAACTCCACAGATATCATCACTCTGACGATGGCATCCGGGTTGCGTTTAATGTAAGGTTGCCACTTGGGTGCTTCTTATTGCCATCTGTTGATTTATTTTCTAATTATTTATTTAGAATGCATTTCACAACATCATACTTTGCTAATCGTTCTGTTTGCACAAGCATTTCAGCTTGCCAGATGAAATTAACCCGCCCCCCTTCTGTGTTGTTCTGGGGGGGGGGGTTCGCCAAGTGCTGCCCCCAAACCAATTGTGTGGGTGCAGGAGAGGAGAGAGGAGAAAATCCAGTTGCACAAGTGGGATTCCTTGCACAGGGTCTCCGCTGACAAGGCTGGTTAGGTGAATCCCATCAATTGGAACAAAGGAAATTGCCTTATACTGAGTCAGTCCTCTTTCTCAGCTGGCCACCCTAGTTAAGACCCAGGATGCATTCTGACTTTGGGAATACAGTCATACCTTGTATCACAGTACTATCTACAATGACTATCTGCAGTTTTTCAGGGTTTCAGACAGAGTTCCCTCCTAGCCCTTCCTGGAGATGCCAGGGATTGAACCTGGGACCTTCTGCATGCAAAGCAGATGCTCTTCCACTGAGCCATGGCCTTCCCTCTCATTTGTTTTCATTTCCCCCATTGAATATAGCCCAGTCTTTCTCTTTTGTTGGCTTCAGGCCATTGAGGTTTAGATCTTTGTGGCAAATGGGGGAGGCCAATGCTAAAATTGCCTGGATCATGAATCTTGTGTGAAATCACAGGCTGCACTAACTCCACACTTCACCACCCACTTTCCAGTCTCATGCAGTAAATCCCAGCTACCCATATTTCCCTTTAGCCACCTCTGTGTCTTTTGTGTGCGCCTGCCTAATCATAGAACAACTAGGGGAAACTGCAGGGCAATGTAATGAGCAAATAATCCCTTTCTTTCATGCAATCTAAGCATGCTCTTCAGCTGTTGGCCTTAGAACCAGGAAAACCTGCTAAACCGCTGGGACTACAGAAGCCACGGTGCTTCAATTAAACATCCACACATATATATGTAAGATTTGCTTTCGCTGAGAAACAAGGCATGCATCTTTACCTATTGCACATGCTAACTTGTCTTGCATCTGCAGTATGCACACTCTGCAAACAGTTGCACGGAAAGCATTCCTGCTCTACTTGGGTTTGCGTCATTGGGCAAAGGAGATTACTGCCAACAAAGGCCATGATGGATTGAACCAGAACCATCCTGGCACAAAACATCTGTAAGCTTTGCCAGCTCATTATAGCCTAGCTATTCCGTGTGTCTTTGGCTTACTCAGCAGAATGAGCCCAAGTGGGGGTAGACAGCTGAGCTGCAGTGCTGTTGATTAAACTAAGATTATTTTGGCTAGGTTTCTCAAAATGTCTCAGCACTCCTCGCATTTTCCACACAATTCCAGTATGTTGAAGTAAAACTCTGCAAGATGCTTATAAACAATGCTGTTTTTCTGGCACTGGGACATTTTGCTGGGAATGTTGGACACATACTTCAGGAAAAGCTTAGAGGAAGGGGGTAGAATTGGGGAAACTTGTTCCCCACGGAATACAGAAGTCACCAGATTCACTTCCCACCTGCAACTGGATAAGGTGCTAGAGGGCAACAGTTGCTGCAAATCGTGGTGAAAAGAAAAGAAGGTAGATTGCTTGACTATTAGGATGTAATGCAGACATCTACACATCCTCCAACCATTATTCATTAGCTATCTTCTGATCACTAATAGTAGCCCCCATTTGCCATAGAAGCCAATAGAGAAGGGTGTGTCCAAACAACAAATCTGAAAGGGGAGATGTGTTCCTGGCATTGATACAATCCCAGAATTAACAAGCAGCTACATTTGTTCTGGGGATGCCTGGAGGACATCTGACCTTCAGATCCACTATTTGGGCACACCCTTCATTATTGCCTTCTATGGCAAATTGTTATTTGTGTTGGCAGGCAGAAGAGAGGATATGGACAGTGGTTGGGGGTCCACAGAACTGTGCAGGTAACTCTGTGGACGCTTTGGACTTGTGTTTGCTTTTTTTCAAAGTGACCCCACTTGCCACCTGGCAAATTGCTTTTGGAATTAAAGGCCCTTTTAGAAGCAGTTGGTGATACGGCGTTGGCCTGATGTTTGAGGGGAGATAGTTCAAAAATCCAGCTAGGTGTAGCCAAACCCTTGGGTACACCTAAAGTAGCTTTTAGTTTATTCTCCTGCTTTTGCCTTTTTACCCTTCATTGTTTTTGGTTTTGTTTTGTTTTTTGCTTGCCAAAGCGGTTTTGTGCAGAAGATCTCAACCATATGAAGTACATGCAGGACTTACTGAAAAACATACTGTCAGGGAACTGACATCGGAGCTAGAGGCGGAGGGAAGGCTCTCTAATGATGCTGGAGAAGGGCCCAGCAGGGAGAGAGGCAGCTCAGCAGATGGGGAATCAAATCAGCGCAACACCAGGGATAAAGGGGGGCAGATGGGGGAATCGGCGAGAGGGCTCCAGGACTCTTCACTGGACACCAGCGGGGAGAGCACGGGTCCTCCGCTACCCACACCCTCCCTGCGCAGAAGGCTTCCGCGCAGGGAGAGTAGGAGGAGACTTGGTGTCAAACAACTTTTATGTTGGAAAAGGTTTAAGAAACGCTCACTGACGGATTCTGCTAGCGACTGAGGCAGCCACGAAGTGAAGGGCTGTCCAGACAGAAAGGTTTAACAAGGCAACATAGCCAGGAGAGGCAGCAACTTACGCACGAGCAACCCATACTCATTACACATACCTATGATATATTGGGAGTAAAGCAACAATGTTTGCAATAGGTTACCTGAAAGAGGGGGGACTGGCAATGGACAGAGAAGCAATCTATTCTTCTCTTGGTGATTCCTTCTTCAGTACATGTAAATTGTCTTTCCTTGGGCTTTTACTTCCTTCCTGCTTCTCCTCCAAGTCAGTTAGTGTTAGACTTCTTTTTGTTATAACCTCATGACTCCATGATGGCCATATTTGAGCTTGCACTCACAATGGCTTTGTTTTTCAGAAGTAATAAATATTAAGTTTCTTTATTCTTTCAACCACCAGTCTTACCAGACAATATATTTCTGCGCTCTGATACCAAACTCCAACATAATGGCATCACTTAGAACATGGGTAGGCAAACTAAGGCCCAGGGGCCAGATCTGGCCCAATCGCCTTCTAAATCCAGCCCACGGATGGTCCAGGAATCAGCGTGTTTTTACATGAGTAGAATGTGTCCTTTTATTTAAAATGCATCTCTGGGTTATTTGTGGGGCCTGCCTGGTGTTTTTACATGAGTAGAATGTGTGCTTTTATTTAAAATGCTTCTCTGGGCTTTTTGTGGGGCATAGGAATTTGTTCATTATTTTCCCCCAAAATATAGTCCGGCCCCCCACAAGGTCTGAGTGACAGTGGATCGGACCCCTGCTGAAAAAGTTTGCTGACCCCTGACTTAGAAGATATGCAAGATCCCATCCATTTACAACTTAATGCCCTCAAAATGTGTCTGTTCAAGATATGTCAGCTTCCCTTGCCTTACACTATAATTCAACTTAATATCAATACGTTCTGACAAATATTTTCCAAAACAAAGGTATGTCTTTTCAAGTGGCTTATTCATTCTCTTATGTTATTATACAATAACTTGATTTCATTAGCTCTGGGTTTTATAGGCAAACAGGCAACCCACCACTGCTTGCCAATTTCACTTTTGGATTCATCTTATATGTCTTTTTTTGGAGTTGCTTTGATACCAAGCCATCACCTACAATTTCTTCTGTCACCTTCTCCCTGTGGAGAAGGCAGAGAAGACTGCACAATGCACTTCTAAAATAGTTTATGGAGCAGCCAAGCCACACGGCTCTAGGATTTTGAATTATCTTTCCCAGCTGCTCCGATACGAGTAATAATGGAGAGCTGGGAACTATGAGGGGCTGTCAACTGGAATGCAGCTTTTCTCACTTCAAAAGGAATTAGAAATACCATTGATGGGCAGGCAAAAGCGGTTGGGACATGGACACAGCTGAAATTTCATACCCTTTTGGTGTTAGACTTCTTGAGCTGGAGGATTTTGTTGCTAGCAAATGGACTTGCGCATAACGTTTGTTGGATTACAACAGAGTTTGGAAGCTGGCACCTGCTGAGGAAGCACTCTCCTGATGAATAAAATATCCATTTTGCATGCTTGTAGACAACGGAGAGAGATTAATTCATTAGAGTGGGGTTGAGTTTCTTTACTCTTACTATGTGTCAAAACACCTGTCTGTAGGCATCATATTATGTTGGCAGCAGAGGCAACCCAATACATTTTTCTTCCTGAGGTGAAGGGCAAGATGGCCGCCACCCTGCCATTCCACACACAGAAGCCTATTGAACTGGCCGCTGTGTCTCACTTCAACACAGCAAATAGAATTTTCCATAAAATTATGTTGTTGTTACCCAGTTCCATTTCAGTGCAGAGGAAACGAAATACAAATGGGGGGATGTAATCACTTATGTAACGTTTACAGACTGAAAGCATTGTATTCACTATATTGATTTACATTCTGGACATGGGGCAAATAAGGAAAGATCAGCAACTTCTGTTTTTGTCAGAATTCTCTGACATCCCTAGTTGGAAGCTCTGCTTTCCTGACCAGGCAAGGATAGAAAACCAGGCTGGTAGTAATGAAAATTAGGCCTAGGCAATCCAGAGGCCTTATATGTCTGTCAATCACAGGGGACACTGTTGCATGTCCCATTTTACTTTTATGCCTGAGGATGCTAAGCAGGCACAGTCCTGGAAAGGAGCCCCTCAGCCTCCTCCTGTGAGATTCCAAGGGTTGTATCCAGTGCTAGTTCTATTCATAATTGACTCATTAAAATTAATGGACCTACATTAGTTATGTCCATTAATTTAAGCGAGTCTACTCTGAGTAGAATTAGCACCAGAGACAACCCCCAATTCAAACTCCAGCTTCTGTGGTGTAGTGGTTCGCGTCTCCGCTCCTCCACATGCAACTGCTGGGTGACCTTGGGCTAGTCACACTTCTCTGAAGTCTCTCAGCCCCACTCACCTCACAGAGTGTTTGTTGTGGGGGAGGAAGGGAAAGGAGAATGTTAGACGCTTTGAGACTCCTTCGGGTAGTGATAAAGCGGGATATCAAATCCAAACTCCTCTTCTTCTTCTTCTTCTTCTTCTTCTTCTTCTTCTTCTTCACCAGGGCCCCTCCTTCATTGCTTCTTTTCTCACGCATGGGTGCCTGAAGATTTGCCGGGCTAGGCATTTCAGAGCCGAAACACTTTTAACATATTGAATCAGTTTAGCAACTGGCCTTCTTCCAGTGTTGCAGCTTCAGTATGAAACACCAATAAAAATTCCTAACATTCAAGTCCACTGAGGACTGAAGAGTGAGTTAAAAAACAACAACAAAAACCTGGGGGGGGGAGGTGTCTCTGCATTGGAAAGGCGACTTCCAACTTGCATCATACTTGGCTCTTGCATCAACAGCAGGATGCATCGTAGGTGGAGCTGCAGCTCTTTTGTCCTTCAGGAAGCTTCAGCAATGCTTCACGTTTTTCTTGGCACGTTGGCCCAAAAAGTAGATGTTTCAACA